GTGTATGCGCCCTAAATTACCTACGGGGGCAGTCAGCTAACTGCTCGGAGCCCGAGTTTCCCAGCTGTGGTGCTGAGAGGTATCAGTCCGCGGGATGTACACTATTTGTAATTAAGTTTTTTAAAAAGTTTCTTATTAATTTATTTTCATTTTGTTTGAAAGGCAGAGAGAGACAGGGACATCTTCCATTTATTGGTACATCCCCCAAAAGCCTGCAACAGCCAGGGCTGAGCTGACCCAAAGCCAAGAGCCAGAAATTCCGTTCCTGTCTCCCACATGAGTAGCAGGGACCCAAGGACTTGAGCCAGCATCCGCTGCCTTTCAGGGTGCACATTAGCAGGAAGCTGGAACTGAAAACGGGGCCAGAACTTGAACCCAGACACTGCAGTATGAGATGCAGGCATCCCAGGTGGCAGTGCTGCACCAAATGCGTGCCCTTTTGATGAATATTTTAATTACTGAATGCATACAAAACTCTGAACCCTAAAGATATTAATCTAAAGGAATGATTTTTGATAATTACACAAAACAAAGTCTGGAATACTTGTCACTGAAGCGTCAGCCCAGATGATCACACCCTCAGAGAGACCTCCCCTTAACCACCTATCAAAACCCACTGCATTTTCCCCCTAGTGCTTAGTACTACCTGAAATCGTCTTATTTGTGAATGTCCACCCCTGCTTTCTCAGCCATGCCAACAGCAATCCTCACCATCTTACTGCTTTACTCTGCCAGATTCAATAACTACTTATTGAATGAACGAATACCAAGATAAAAGTAATTGAAAAAAAGAACAAACTTGGAAAATACCACTGAGTTCAAGACTTACTACAAAGCTACAATAATCAAGACCAAAATGGAATAGAGTCCACAAAGAGACCCACACGTCAGCAGACAAGTGCTTTTCAACGGAGATGCAAATCCAGTGGCCCCACGCGGCCTTTTCAGCGAATGGTGCTGCCGGTGTAGGTGCTGCCGCACAGCAGATTAAGCCTGGGCTCGGGACGCCCACGTCCCTTACCAGAGTGCTGGTTCAAGTCCCAGCTCCTCCACTTCCAATCCAACTTCATGTCATGCGCCTGGGAAGACAGCAGGCGATGGCCCAAGTGGCCTGGGTCCCTTCCACCCATGTGGAATATGGGGCTCCTGGCTGCAGCAGGGCCCAGCCAAAGCCACATCTCACGTAATACACAAAGATATATTCAAAGTGAATGGGTAGCCTAAAACTGTGAAACTTGTGGAAGACAAAAGAGAAAACATTTGAGGCCTTGGGTCAAGCAAAGATTTCTCAGAAATAATACCAAAAGCATAGCATCAGAAAAAAATAAACTGGACTTCATCAAAATTAAAAAGCTCATACTATTTTTTTTTTAAGATTTCCTTATTTGAGAACCAGGGTTACAGAGAGGCAGAGAGAGAGGTCCTCCCATCTGCTGGTTCACTCCCCAGATGGCCGCAACGGCCAGAGCTGGGCTGATCTGAAACCAGGAGCCAGAAGCTCCTTCTGGGTCTCCCATGTGGGTGCCGGGGCCCAAGGACTTGAGCCATCTTCCACTGCCTTCCCAGGCACATTAGCAGGAACTGGATTGGAAGTGGAGCAGCCGGGACTTGAACCAGCACCCCTATGGGATGTTGGTACTGCAAGGCGATGGCTTTACCTGCTACACCAGAGCGCTGCCCCCCAAAAAAACCTCATGCTATTAAGAAAATGAAAAGACAAGCCATGGACTAGGAAAATTTATCTGCAATTCTGATAAAGGACAAGCATAGAGATTATATAAAGAACTCAATAATAAGAAAACAAATAATGAAATAAAAAGAGATCTGGACACATCATCAAAGAACACATGCAGATGGCAAATAAGTGCAAGAGAGGATGATCCGTGTAACTAGTCGTCAGGGAAAATACACAAACTAAAACTACAGTGAGATACCACAACACTTCCACTAAAATGGCTAAAATTAAAGGCTGACCATACTAAGTGTTGGCATGGCTGTGGAGGAACTGTAACTGTCATATAATGGTAGTAGAAATATAAAATGACATTACCACTTTGAAAAACAGTTTGGCAATTTCTGAATGCATTCAATAAACCTCTGCTAAATGATCCAGCCATTCCACTTGCGGGCACACGTCCGTATGAACACCTGTGTGTGAGAATTCTAAGACTCTTATTTGTGACAGCCAAACAGTCAAGTGTCCATCAACAGGAGAGTGGATAAGCAAACTGCAGTGTATCCACACAACGGGACACTCTACAACTAAGCAATAAAAATTCTGGAACTATGGGACACACTGTAACATGGACGAATCTCAGCATACCTGTCTGAGGGTGAGAAGCCACACCAAAGAGGAGGACACACGAAGGACATTTATATAAAATCCTAGGAGATGCACACTCGCACACAGTGACAGGAAGCAGAACAGTGACTGCCTAAGACCTAAGAAGGGATTATAAAGAGCACAAGGAAACCTCACGGGGGTTATGGATACGTCCATTATCTTGACGTGGTGATGACGTCCCAAGTGGATACACACATCAATAGTTTGGGAAGACACACTTAACAATATGTAATTTATTTCACATCATGGATGTCTCAATAAAGCTGGTTAAAAATCCAAAACTTAGGCCGGCGCCGCGGCTCACTAGGCTAATCCTCCGCCTAGCGGCGCCGGCACACCGGGTTCTAGTCCCGGTTGGGGCGCCGGATTCTGTCCCGGTTGCCCCTCTTCCAGGCCAGCTCTCTGCTGTGGCCCGGGAGTGCAGTGGAGGATGGCCCAGGTGCTTGGGCCCTGCACCCACATGGGAGACCAGGAAAAGCACCTGGCTCCTGGCTCCTGCCATCGGATCAGCGCGGTGCGCTGGCCGCGGCGGCCATTGGAGGGTGAACCAACGGCAAAGGAAGACCTTTCTCTCTGTCTCTCTCTCTCACTGTCCACTCTGCCTGTCAAAAAAAAAAAAAAAAAAATCCAAAACTTGACTCACAATCTAAAAAGCAACAATTTCCAACTAAGTGTGTTTTGTTCAGACCCTGACTTTTAGGTGGCGCCCACTTCTTTTCTACAATAGCAAGTCAGAAATACCAGGGCCAGAAGGCAGAAGGAATCACTCCGTTTCAAACCGCCACCTTGGGAGTGTGTTTGGCACAGTGAGTAAGATGCCTGCATCCCATGCTGGAGAACCTGGGTTCGAATCCTGGCTCTGCCTCTGATCCCAGCTTCCTACTAGTGTGCATCCCGGGAGGCAGTGGATGGTGGTTCAAGTGCTTGAGTCCTGTGGTGACCTGGAACGAGTTCTGGACTCCCGACTTGGGGTTAGTCAGCCCTGCTATCGTGGGCATTTGGGGAGTAAACCCAAGGATGGAAAACCCATCTCTCTCTAGCTCACTCTTCCTTTCACTCATTTAAAAAAAAAAAATGTCAAATGTCACTTCAACCGTTTGCTGCTTTGGCAATGCCCACACTTCCCTGTTTCTAAACTAACAAGCAGCACAATGCAGGGTCTACTGGGACTCAGCCCCTTTCCCCAGCCCCAGCCCCCAAGTCTTTCTGTCCCCCAACGCAGCAGATCCTTACTTGTCTGAAAGAGCAGACACAAGGAACAAAAGGCTCAATGACTACCTGACAGATCAGAGAACAGACAACTGTTTCATGTGGGAGCTCCCTAAAGAAGTGGAACGTTTGGGGCCGCACACTGTTCTGCAGCATGCAGTTAGACACCCCCGGTCTGGGAGCACCTGCCGACAGACCTGTCCCCCTCACTCACTCACTCACTCACTCACGAGTTTCACTTTTCCGTTTCCTGCCCTCTTTTGCTCCAGGTCCGTGCACGAATGGCATGCATGCAGGTGTGTGCGTCTCGAGCAGACATTCCTAATATTCCGAAAGCACCTCTCGTTCAAACAGCCCCGACCCCCTGAAAGCGCTTCTCCAATGCCTGGGACGGTGACCCTCGCAGAACAACCACGGGCAAGCACAGACAAAGGTCTTATGTGTGAGTCCCAAGCAACGAGCAGTGATGCAGAATAGCAGCCTCATTATCTGAGAACCACGGGTCACGCTACTGTTTAACAGCAAAAACGACCCGTGACGGTTATAAAATAATAGCAACTCGGCGATCAGCACTGGACTCGGGCTCCACCATTTACTGAGCGGTGGGAGGCAACGCAGATTTCTGCTTTTTTACAGCGGGGGTAGCTGGACCGACCTCAGCGGACTGCTGGAGTTCAAAAGTCTGCGTCTGGACTCAAAGCGAGTCAACGTTAGTTCGTGCAAACTCCCCCTTCCTGCTGACCCGCACGCTCCTGCGGGGCCTCGGTTTTCACATCCGTGAAATGGGTCCTGGTTTTCCAGGTTGTAGCGAGATCCAGCTCCCTTCCCGCCCATCTCCCAGAGCGAGGATCGCAGAGGAAGGAAATACTCGTAGCGGCTGCACACACAGTCAGTTTTTCCACTTCTGGCACGTGAGGGGCGGAGGGGGGGAGAAGGCGATGCAAAGGGGCACATGCAAGGGTCAGGGGTCCTGAGTGGAGCCCCCCACCCCACCCCGAGGCGCGCGAGTGGCGGCGCGGCCCCGGGGCGGCGAGTGCCCAGCGGCGCCCGGGGCCCCAGGAGCCTCCCCCGGAGAGCGGGGTTATTTCGGAATCACCATGAGGCAATTCTCATGAGGCAATGGGTCAGGAATGCGGCGCCGAGCCGGGCCGCTGGCGGCCGCGGCTCTCCGGGCGCCTCTACCTGCTCCCGGCCGGACGGGCATCCCCGGGCCGCTGGAGCCGGAACTCGGGGAGGCAGGAAATGAATGGGGACCCGAGGGTGGGGGTGCGCTGGGGCCCCGGGCTGGGGGCGGCGAGGGGGTCCGGAGCCACCCTGCCCTCCCCGTCCCCCTCGCCCGGGACCGGGGTCCGAGGCCCGGCCGGGACGCCCCCCTCCCGGGCGCGGCTGGGCGGAGGCGGCGGGGGCCCGGCCCAGGCCCGCGCCGGGGCCCCTCGGGGCTCCTCACCTCCGCGATGTCATGTTCCTCCCGCCCTCCGGCTCCGCGACGGACCCGCTCCTTGCTCAGGCTCCGCAGGGCCCGGTCACATCGGGCTGGCCCGAGGGAGGCCCGCTCGGGACCGGACGTGGGGCAGAGCCAGCCGGCCGCGCGCAGACCCCCCTCCAGGCCTGGGGGATCCCGGACACTGTGCAGCCGCCCCCCAAGCCCGGCTGGCTCCGCCTCCTCCCCCGCCCTTCGCCGCCGGCGCCTCGGTGACGTCATCCGTGCGACGCCCGCCGCCACTTCCTGCTTCCCGTCGGCGGCGAGCGAGAGGCGGTCGCTGACTGCGTCTCGGGGCTCGCGGGAGCCGCCACCGCGCGCGTTCGCAATCGCGCCCGCCCACGCCGTGTCAGTTTCCGTCGCCGAATAGACGCCGAGCCGAGTTCTGTTCGTCTCCCTCCCCGCGTCGCCGCCCCTCTCGTTGGCTCTGCAAGCTGCAAAAGCTACGTGGTCTCTCCGAGCTCCAGCGTCCCCCATGCCTTCGTTTGCGTGAAGAAGGGCTACGCGTTCTTCATGGCGTTACCGTGAAGATTCACCGTGGAAAACAGGCAGGCCTGCGCCCGTCTGGCGGCACAAGCTGCGTTGCAGTCGTTTCTGATGAGTGTTTTCCGTCTGCTGAGCCCTGGTTTAAACCGTGGCTTCGTGAACCAAAAGTCCGAAAAGCCCTGATCTGGAAACAGTCAACAATGCAGAGGAATTCTGGTGTGCGTGCTAGGTTATAAAGACGTCTGTGTGCTGTTTGTAAACGCGGAAGGCCGCGTGGAGCTCAACTCCACGACCCCCAGGGTGCCCGAACCACACTCTGCGCGTGTACATACATGATGAAGTTTCATGTGTTTAACCACAATAAAAAAAAGTTAATGAACGTAAGCTGTTGTGTGAGCGCAGCGCTTTTTGGTACAACACAGTGCCATCAATCAGAAGGCATTTTCTTTTTTTTCTGAGAGATTTATTTATTTATTATTTGAAAGGCAGAGTGACAGAGAAATCTATCTGCCAGTTCACTCCCCCCCCCCAGCCCAGTACCTGCGACAGCCATGGGGAAGCCAGGCGCCCGGAGCTCCCTGGGGGTCCCTCACGGGGGTGGCAGAACCCCACCTCCCCGGGCCATCCTCCCCTGCTTTCCCTGGCGCATTAGCAGGGAGCCGGATTGGCCGCAGAGCAGAAGCATCGCAAGCAGCGGCCCCAGAAGACACTTTGTGTTCAAGCCGATCACCCGCACATTGGGTGCTTTTTCTTAGCACTTGTGCTACGTGGCGATACCACCTTGCACATTGGGTGCTTTTTCTTAGCTAAGCGCTTGTGCTGCGTGGCCATACCACCTTCTGCAGTTATAGGAGTGACAGCAAAACTACAATGAATTCCGTTTTCCTTCTTCACTGTTAGATCTTAGCAACCTCAGCTTACAAGTTTTGTGTTTTTTTTTTGTTTTCTCATTTATCTGAAAGGCAGAGAGGCAGATCTTGTCCCCGCTGGTTCACTCCCCAAATGCCTGCAACAGCCAGGTCTAATTCAATCCCGGTCTCCCACGTGGGGGATGGGGACCCAAGCTGCTGCCTACCAGGGTGTGCATTAGCGGGAAGCCGGATTGGAGGTAGAGGGAGGTTGGAGCGAGCCCAGACGCTCGGATATGTGATGTAGGTGTTCCAAGCAATGTCTTAACTGCTACATCAAAAGCCCACCTATAAGCGTGCGATTATTTTCCTTGCGTTGAAAATGTTCACCTTTTCCCTTCAAAGAAGCACTTCCTGGCTTTTCTTTGGCTTGTCCGATTGCTGGTTGCACCTTGGGGCTGTTACTTGTGTTCTTGAACACAAACCCTGCAGTGTGCATTGCAACACAATTAGCAAACTTAGCAGTTGTTTATTTCTGGAATTTTCCTTGTGAGATTTTTGCACCAAGTTGACTGTGAATAGTTGGAACCAAGCAATATCCCAGACGTGGGAGGGACGAGTGTATTACCACCGTCTTTCTTTCCTTATTTTTATATTACCACTTTAAATTGAGTAGTGAGGGAAGGCCTCCCTGACAAGATGCAGTTTGAGTGACGCTCTGATAAAGCAGCAGCGTGTGGCGTAGCACTTCAAACACAGGGAGAGGCCAGTGCAAAAGTCCTGGGGCAGGAGGCTGCTGCCTGAATTTTTAAATGCTTATTTATTTTTGCATTTTATTTGAAAGAGAAAGAATTTTCATCTTCTGGTTCACTCCTCAAATGTCCACAACAGCTGGACCTGGACCAAGCTGAAGCCAGGAGCTGTGACATCCGTCTGGGTCTCCCAGGTGCGTGGCAGGGACCCAAGCCCGTGAGCCATCCACTGCTGCCTCCCAGGGTGCACATCAGCAGGAAGCTGGATCAGAAGCAGAGAAACCAGGACTCCGACAAACCAGGCACTCTGACACGGAATGCCGGGCATGCAAAGCAGTGACTTAACAGCTGAGCCAAATGCCACCCCTGCCTCCTGCATTAGGAGGTCTCTGACGATAGGGGGTGGGGGGAGTATCAGGAAGCAAGACTAGAAAAGGGTAGAGATAGCATCGATCCTCCAGGCTATTGAAGCAGCTGAGGCTTTTACTCAATAACGTGGAGATTCATTTATTTAAGATTTGCAGCAGGGGAGGAAAATAACACAGGAGGGTACTTCAAAGAGTTCAGAGAAAATAAAATTTTAAAGGGGCCGGCGCCGTGGCCCAGTAGGTTAATCCTCCGCCTGTGGCTCCGGTATCCCATATGGGCACCAGTTCTAGTCCCGGCTGTTCCTCTTCCAATCCAGCTCTCTGCTGTGGCCTGGGATAGCAATAGAGGATGGCCAAGTCCTTGGGCCCCTGCACCCACGTGGGAGATCCAGGGGAGGCTCCTGGCTCCTGGCTTCCAATCAGCACAGCTCTGGCCATTGCGGCCATTTGGAGAGTGAACCAACGGACGGAAGACCTTTCTCTCTGTCTCTTCCTCTCACTATCTGTACCTCTACCTCTCAAATAAATAAATAAAATCTTAAAAAAAAAAAAAAAAGGCACTTGGGCCATCCTCCACTGCCTCCCCCGGACCATAGCAGAGAGCTGGACTGGAAGAGGAGCAACCGGGTCAGAATCCGGCACCCATATGGGATGCTGGTGCTATAGGCGGAGGATTAACCAAGTGAGCCATGGCACCAGCCCCAAGAAAATAAAATTTTAAAAAACAAGTGGGGGGGGAGGAGCGGCACTGTGGCATAGCAGGTAACGCCACCATTTGCAGTGCCAGCATCCCATATGGGCGCCGGTTGGAGTCCCAGGTGCTCCACTTCCGATCCAGCTCTCTGCTATGGCCTGGGAAAGCAGTGGAGGATGGCTCAAGTGCTTGGGCCCTGCACCCACGTGGGAGACCCAGAAGAAGCTCCTGGCTCCTGGCTTCAGATCAGATCAGCTCTGGCCGTTGTCATTTTGGAGTGAACCAGTGGATGGATTACCTTTCTCTCTTTCTCTCTCTCTGCCTCTACCTCTCTGTAACTCTGCCTTTTAAATAACAAATCTTTAAAAAAAAAAAAAAAACCTTAACAGGGAGATCTTTCCCTGCTCTTCCTCTTTCTCCTCCACTCCTCACTTCCTATCATCTTGTATTACTCAGAGAGCACTTGCATTACAGATCTGAGCAGAGAAATGCTTTCAGATATTCATTAGCCCACCTACCCATAACTTATTTTCAAAGATAGGATAGAGTTGTAAAGTGCTTTTTAAAGAAAAAAATTATTTATTTATTTGAAAGTCAGAGTTACACACAGACATAGAAGGAGAGACAAAGAGGTGTCTTCCATCTGCTGGTTCACTCCCCAATTGGCCGCAATGCCAGAGCTATGCCAATCCAAAGCCAGGAGCCAAGAGTTTCCTCCAGGTCTTCCCACATGGGTGCAGTGGCCTAAGGACTTGAGCCATCTTCTACCGCTTTCCCAGGCCATAGCAGAGAGCTGGATTGGAAGTGGAGCAGTCGGGACTCGAACTGGCACCCATATGGGATGATAGTACTGCAGGTGGTGGCTTTACCTGCTATGCCACACTGCCAGCCCTGGAAAGTGCTTTTATAATACAATATTATTGTTAAAGGCAAGGATCGGCCAGCACTGTGGCTCACTTGGCTAATCCTCCACCTGCGGGGCCAGCACCCCAGGTTCTAGTCCCGGTTGCAGTGCTGGATTCTGTACTAGTTGCTCCTCTTCCAGTCCAGCTCTCTGCTGTGGCCCAGGAGTGCAGTGGAGGATGGCCCAAGTGCTTTGGTCCCTGCACCCGCATGGGAGACCAGGAGGAAGCACCTGGCTCCTGGCTTCGAATCAGCGCAACACCGGCCATAGCGGCCATTAGGGGAGTGAACCAACAGAAGGAAGACCTTTCTCTCTGTCTCTCTCACTGTCTATAACTCTCTCTAACTCTGCCTGTCAAAAAAAAAAAAAAAAAAAAAGCCAATGATTGACTCTTTTTATTTTGACATGGCATGTCCTGAAATAAATATCTATTCAATATGGGGAAAAGAAAAGAAAAAAAAAAAAGCAGGACCAGTGTCATGACACAGAAATTAAACTGCCACTTATGCAACCAACATCCCACATGCAGGTCCTGATTTGTGGCCTGGCTGCTGTTTCTGATCCAGCTCCCTTCCTAATGGGCCTGGGAGGCAGCAGATAATGGCTCATGTACTTGAGACTTGACCATCCACATAGGAGACCAAGATGAAGCTCCTGGCTCCCAGCTTAAGCCTGGCCCAGCCCATAGCCCTTGCAGCCATTTGGGGCGTGAACCAGCAAATGGAGGATCTCTCTCCCTTTCTGTCACTTTGCCTTTCAAATAAATACATCTTTAAAAACAATGCACATTTCTACAAACCTTTTATGAGATTTATTTATTGATTTGAAAAGTAGTTACAGAGAGTCACCCCCGTCTTCCAAGGAGGAGGTTGGAAGCCTTTGTCGTGGTGTTGAAATCCTTCATGGTCCATCCTGAGTTAGTACCCAAACAACAGTTCCCAAGGCTGCTTGCTGTGTCTTATGTCCTTGCCTTGCAGAAATTCATTCCTTCAGCCTGGAATACTCTTCAAAGCTTTTTCCATCTGGAAAGCTCTGTGTTAGGCAAAAGTCAGCCCCAGGTCAGACAGTTCTGCCCAGAAATGGTCTGAGAATAAGCCAGAGTTCCCCTTGTATGTGCCCGAGGTTCCTGCTCATAGCTCTTTCAGTG